AAAAAAAAAGGAAACATTTACAGCATTTCAACATCACAATGCTCAAACTCACCTCCGCCCTCATCTTTCCTCCTCCATGCTCCATCAGGGTCCCCCCTCCTCTCGCCATGCATCGACTCCCACTTCACTCCAGCAAGAAAGCGTCCGCTTACTACTCATGAGACACACACACACGTGCTCACATGTGTGCTTGTAGCCGGTGGGTGTGATGACTTGTGACGACACCATGTGGTGGTTTGTTTTGTTGTGACTGGGCAAATAATCTCTCTGTTCGCTGCTGTGTGTCCCCACATAAAAAACAAGAAGAAAAATCAGCCAAATCTCAAACATTAAGCTGTGATCATTTAAACAGGCGTGTAATTTTTAGTAGGGATGGCTCGATACAACTTTTTCATGTCTGACACTGCAACTTAGAGTATCTCCTCCAGCAACAGACAGCCTTTACTGAGGCAATAGTGTCCCTGTTTACGACAAGTGGCGCAAAGTTAACTTAAGAATTTGGGTTGGGGTATCAGATCGGGCAAACTATAGATTTGTTTGTTTAGCTCCACCCTGAAATTTTGACCAGTATCAAACCGATACCGATTCTTAGTATCGGATCGAGCCATCCCTAATCTGAAGTGGAGGTTTAAGGTGCAAGAGAGAAATTAAAGGTAGCTCCAGAAATACAATTAGTCAAAAAAAAAAATCTCAAGCATTTAAAAAAAAAAAAAAATTAAAAATTTGCAAAATGAAATGAAATCCACATTCTGAATTTACAACAAAATACAGAAGGTTCCTTCTCAGTGTTGCTGTGAACTGAGCGCCAGAGAGTTCAGGAGGTTTAGAGTCACATGATTCAAACAACAATCCCGTCTTTCTTTCTTTCTTTGTGGCGTGTTTTCCCCCCCACTGTCCATTCATACTGTCCCCTGTGACTGTCAAACTAGAGACATTTGGACTTTGTCTAGTGATTCTGACTGTTCTGGTTTTGTGGTGTCTTCATTGAGCCTTTTTGCTTCTTTTTAGCCTAACCCCGATATAACACATTATAACCTTATTGTACATAAAAGGATTGTTCAGTTTTTTTTTTATTGGTAAGGGATTATTCAGCTTCACCATCAAAAACCCATTGATAAAAGTCAACATTTTCAGCTGGAAATGTGACAACTGTGAGTGCGTAGCTCTCCATCATTTAAAATGAAACATAATCCACCAATTTCATATCATTTTACCAGTTTTTCTTAACCTTTTCTTAGCCATTACACATACAGTCATTTACATTAGAAAAACCTTACAGTCGATCAGTAAGAAAAAAAAAAATACTATAGGAAATGACATACAAAATATCTTCTAGTTTGAATTTACTTTATCAGTGTGAAACCTGGGCCTCTTTAGTTGAACACAACGCAGATACACTTGCAGGAATTCAAGAAAGTCACATGAAAGTCTTGTCCAACCATTCTGAGTCTCACTTCTTTAGTTTTTATCCATCTCCTGGGTCTGCTGCCACCTAGTGAAATGGTACTTACATGTCGCTGTCTCTCAGACCAACTGAGACAAATTATTTGCAGTAAATATCTAATTGTTTTTAGACCAGTTAAGTGATATTGTTAATTTTCCATGGTACACACAACCTCTCGTGGCACGTTAGTGCTGCATCATTATGGTTGAGAATCATTGAATTTACACCATGCAACACTAAAATGGGTTTACCTTCAGGTTTTTACTTACAATGCTCAGTTTCTCCCGGGCTGGGCTAGGCTAATGTGGTTCAGCCTACACTTAAAACGCACACCTTTTTTTTTTGGCAGCATCTCACTCCCACCTACTGTTTTAGGGTAAATGTTAACTATAAAATACAGAGCATAGCATATCTGCTGATGAACAAAAATGTACAAACATCCTTTAGCTTACCAAACTATATATTTTACAAACTGTACGTTTAAACAAGCGCGCCTATATTGGCAATTGGCGTTTCTGGTGAAGTGAGTGTCTCTTTCAAAGCTGAACTCTCTTTATAACTTTAACTGTTGTTATACTGACTGACTGGTGTTAAAATTGTGTTACATGCTTTTGATTATTTTTTCCTCTTTCTCTTCTTTAGTTTTTTCACCTGATACTGAAACAGCATTTGGACTCTGAAAGGTAATGCTTTAAAGTTAAAAGTTTTTTTTAGCACAATTTATTGAAGGGAAAGCTGCTGTCAGTTAAATTATTTTTGTTTTATTAATTAATTATTTCTGATGTAAATGAGAAATAATATGCAGAATTTTATGTTTACCAACAAAATTATTGGTACCCCTTTGTTGATGAAATCAAAATCAACAATAGTCACTAAAATAATTTGACACTGACAAAAGTTTGTAGAAATGAATGAAAATTTCCTGAAAATTAACCAACAAACCATCATTTTTGTCCAGACAAATGCCATTAGTTTGATTTTTATTTAAAAAATTATGTAGAGGCACAATTCAAAAGCACTTTTATTCATTATCTTTTGTCAGTTTCAAGTTATTCCAGTGACCATTGTTGGAGATATGTCTCAATTTGTTGTGATGAAACAATTATTTTACATTGCCAAGAGTTGACACATGGACACTATATGTCTGTTAATGCAATAATCATCCCTATAATCTAGGGATGGCTCGATCAAATACGATCGCTATCACACCAATATTGAGTAAAATATCAGGATCAAACAACTAAAAAACTTTAGCTCGTTTGATCCGATACCTAAGCCCAAATGCTCACCTTAATTTTGTCGTAAAAGGATACTATCGCCTCAGCAACCCTGCAGGAGAAAACATGGGATTGATATTAGTATGGGCAGATACTCCAATCGGGCTGGGCTAGGCTAATGTGGTTCAGCCTACACTTAAAACGCACACCTTTTTTTTTTGGCAGCATCTCACTCCCACCTACTGTTTTAGGGTAAATGTTAACTATAAAATACAGAGCATAGCATATCTGCTGATGAACAAAAATGTACAAACATCCTTTAGCTTACCAAACTATATATTTTACAAACTGTACGTTTAAACAAGCGCGCCTATATTGGCAATTGGCGTTTCTGGTGAAGTGAGTGTCTCTTTCAAAGCTGAACTCTCTTTATAACTTTAACTGTTGTTATACTGACTGACTGGTGTTAAAATTGTGTTACATGCTTTTGATTATTTTTTCCTCTTTCTCTTCTTTAGTTTTTTCACCTGATACTGAAACAGCATTTGGACTCTGAAAGGTAATGCTTTAAAGTTAAAAGTTTTTTTTAGCACAATTTATTGAAGGGAAAGCTGCTGTCAGTTAAATTATTTTTGTTTTATTAATTAATTATTTCTGATGTAAATGAGAAATAATATGCAGAATTTTATGTTTACCAACAAAATTATTGGTACCCCTTTGTTGATGAAATCAAAATCAACAATAGTCACTAAAATAATTTGACACTGACAAAAGTTTGTAGAAATGAATGAAAATTTCCTGAAAATTAACCAACAAACCATCATTTTTGTCCAGACAAATGCCATTAGTTTGATTTTTATTTAAAAAATTATGTAGAGGCACAATTCAAAAGCACTTTTATTCATTATCTTTTGTCAGTTTCAAGTTATTCCAGTGACCATTGTTGGAGATATGTCTCAATTTGTTGTGATGAAACAATTATTTTACATTGCCAAGAGTTGACACATGGACACTATATGTCTGTTAATGCAATAATCATCCCTATAATCTAGGGATGGCTCGATCAAATACGATCGCTATCACACCAATATTGAGTAAAATATCAGGATCAAACAACTAAAAAACTTTAGCTCGTTTGATCCGATACCTAAGCCCAAATGCTCACCTTAATTTTGTCGTAAAAGGATACTATCGCCTCAGCAACCCTGCAGGAGAAAACATGGGATTGATATTAGTATGGGCAGATACTCCAATTTGCAGTACAGGTATTGGATTTTTTTTTCAAGTCAGGTGACTGGTATTTAAAGAAAAAAATGTTTTAAAAAATCTTAAAATAAAAAAAACATTTACAGTCATTAAAAAATATTTTTAGATAAAATCAACATCATTCTCAAAATAATTGTGAATTATGCACAGTAAAGAACAGAAGTGAGGTTATTGCTGGGCTAATAGCAGATGCAAACAGGATGTTGTCCAAAAGTAAGCTAGAATAAAGAACAGCATTAAACAAGACATTATTTTAAAGAAATATCAAATATCAAATCAAAATATCAAAATAATAAATTTCACTTTAAGAAATATCAAATATCAAATCAAAATAATAAATTTCACTTCTCCCTTTTCCGTCAGTCTTTGAACGCACCGCGTTGGACTTCATTGTTCTGCACCATCGCGTTCACTGAACCAGCACCTTCTTAAAGGCACTAATGTGTAAGAACCTGTTCTGTACTGTATATACTGTAACACTGACATGTGTGTGTGAGAGACTACTGTAATTTAAACATGCACTAAACACAGGTTGTCACAGCACTATGGTTTTGATAGCTACTGTTTGTGTAGACATTAGGCGTTTTGATACATCTTTTTGATAGTAGATCTGTATTTTTCACTCCTGAGGTTTAGTGAACTCATAATGGACTGTGAAATAGTGTAGAACACAAACACTGGTGTTAATGTTTTGGGTTTTTTTTTTTTCTTCTTCAAAATAGAACAGATTACCCGTGTTATTAGATTCTTGGGCTGCGGTCAAGACGTCCCCTAATTTATTTTCTCTGTTTAAGTTCTCTGATCAAAAAAGCATAACGTCAAAGAAAATATAGTTCTGTTACACTTTGCATGACTTTGTGGCGCTCCGAATAAATCTTTGATTTTGAATGTAGTTGTTGACATTATGCGTCATCACTGTACAGTTTACAGAATAATATACTTTGTGCTTGATGTCCAGGTTCTCCACATATATACACAGTGTTATTTGGCGGTTGTTTTAAGTTTTATTTTACAGTAGAAGACTTTAAAATCCTGATGGCTGTCACTCACAGCTAATGTTTAAAACCAAATCAATTTTGTTCTTCAAATATTTGAAAAAATGTCACACAAGAATCAAGGCTGCAATTTTCTTCCTAATAAGAGAATAAAATAAGGAGCTTCATTTGTTTGGAAATTAGTATTATAAAAATCTATATAAAGAAGATATTGGTAGTATCCTTGCAGCGTTACATACAGTATTAGAGTGGTACATTTTGGTAATATAATAATAAGAAGTCATTTTAAAATAACCAGGACTGTGAACATAAAACTTAAAATAAAATTCCACAAGACAAACATTTTACTCCATACACTACATTTTAAGTATATAACAAGAAACTATTACAAAAGACAGGTTTACTGAACAAATGTAATTTAAATAAATAAACTGTAGCAGCATAATAGATATTTACAAATAAACACTTTTTCTTCTTTAAAAAATAAAATTAAATGAGGTGTCCTCTTTTATCAGACTTGTTTGTTAAATGAGTTGAATAGCCTGAATATTTAGCATTTAAAGAACTCTAAACGTCGTTGCCTCATTGAATTGTTGGTTAGTGTTAGCACAGGTGCCACATCGCTATCCCAAGCAGGGAACTAGCATAGAACAAAACAAAAAGTTAGTTTTTGTTGTTGGTTCTGCAAATAATATTAAGCTGACTAAATTATTTATGCTCAATCTAATTAAAGCAAAAATATTTATGGGTTTTATTAGCTGCTACATGAAATACAGTGAAAAAAGGTTAACTATTTCATAAACGTATGAAATTCTGTATAAAGTAACATTTTAAAAAGTTTAAAAAAAAACTCTACTCTACTACAGTTCAGTACAATGTATTTCATTTGCTACATGCAACAGGAAAACGTATTTTACTTGTGTGAGTGTGAGAATACCTGTTGCAATGCTTTGTTCCTTTTGTTGCTAATTAGCAAAATGGACGTCCGATTGGTGACGCGGTGGCTATATAATTTAAGCACGGCGACCTGCGAACTACAAACTCAACATAAGTCTTTTTTTTTTTTACTTTTTACTTCCCTAAATAAATACTTTGTTGTCTATTTCTTTTTTGGAATACCGTATTCAGTATCCGCATTTGTATTTTTGACGTAAGCTGGCGTTAGTAAAGCACGCGCGA